TTAACATCATGTGCTATCTGGGATAGTATTAATGCCTCCTAACATCTGTCGCAAATAATTGGTGAAAACAAATTAGAAATTAGAAGAAGCATAATTAATAAACATAGGCCTTGAATATGTATTTAATGACATTTTCTTGTTGCAACATGACAAGATATGAAATATTTAAGGTATGAATTGGACAGAATCATGTTTTAGAGTGAATTAATTGAATCATTTGTCAGCGATTGCCTTTGGTGGGACATGAAAACTAGTGGGGCGTCTGCTGGATGTCATGCTCATGATTGTGTGGAAGGTTCAAGAAGGCCTGTGGAAGAAACAGTGAGTGCGTGCAAAAGTCATGTTGTTGACCATTTTTCTGGGCTAAATCTTTGTTTTCTTGTCCTCCATTTTTTTTATTTGGTCCCTGGATGGATTATTATTAAAAATGATTCAACAAAGCACAAAATTCTCAAGCTTTCCAACTTAAAGTCAGTTTACTTGTATTCCGCCCTAAGGTTAAAAAAAAGCCTTTTTTCCTGCTTCTTAGGAATGTCATAACAGCACCAGTTTCCTAGAGTCAGGATATTGTGTCTCTCCGGGTTTAAATTGCCATCAGAAAAGGCGCTCCAGAGGCCAGCTCTCTGTTGTTTCTTAAAGAGGGACCCGATGTTGACTTTTTCCCCAGAGGGCTGTAGCTTTTTTCCACCTCCCCTCTTCACCTCTTCTATTTTTTCAACATTCACCACTTTCCTGTTTTTAACCACAGTGTAGTGGATGAAAAAAAAAAGAAAAATGGAGGGAAATGCTTGACTGGACTTACAAAGGCCTCATATTTCTGAAGCTTTGACTGAATTTCTGATTTCTCACCCCTCTGCCATTTCTCGTGCTTCCTAAGCCGCAGTTTGGAAGTTGCAACCACAGCACAACTGTCGGCTCTTGTCACAAAGTGACGAGGACCCGGACTCGTGTCAAGTGACACGGTCGGTTTGAAAATCTCACTCGGATCAAACGCAGTCTCAAAAGCCTTTTTTTCACTTTGCGAAAGGATAAATTAGTAAAAGGACAAAAACCTGAAAGGGAAATGACCTTTCAGAAAAATTAAATGGAGAAGAGCAGTAAAGTTTTTTTTTTTCAAAATGAACAAAATTTGCTTTCCCTTCGCCCCCTAGCACATCAACAATGACCACATCCACGGAGAAAAGAAGGAATTTGTGTGCCGATGGGAGGAATGCTCTCGAGAGCAGAAGCCCTTCAAGGCCCAGTACATGCTGGTGGTCCACATGCGCAGACATACTGGGGAAAAACCACACAAGTGCACAGTAAGGATCCTCATAAATGTCAATATAACCCTATCTGCAGATGATATTGTATTGTGCATGTTAATATATATTTCATAGCTAAATGTAAAAATCTAAAGTGTATGGGATAATTCTTTTCCATCTTCAGTTTGAAGGCTGCACTAAGGCCTACTCACGCCTGGAAAACCTGAAAACTCACTTACGTTCCCATACTGGCGAGAAACCTTATGTGTGCGAACATGAAGGCTGTAACAAGGCTTTTTCCAACGCGTCGGATCGGGCCAAGCATCAGAACCGAACACACTCCAATGAGGTATTAACATGGGTCCATCATCCATCCATCCTACATTTGTATTGTTTCATATTTAAAAACTGACCTATGCAGAAATAATTGTAAAGTTTGAAAAAGGCCCAAAAATGATTTTGATCGTATGTAGAGTGTGCAATTATGACATGACAAATGTGTAGGAAGCCCATTCAAATAAACTCATTCAAATCTGCTCTTCGTTCTCCTTCAGAAACCGTACGTGTGCAAAATCCCGGGCTGCACCAAGCGCTACACAGACCCCAGCTCCTTACGGAAGCACGTAAAGACGGTACACGGGCCAGAGGCGCATGTCACCAAGAAACAGCGTGGCGATTACCCACGCCCTCCGCCTCAGCCACGGGAACCTGGAGGCAACAGCCAGGGCAGGTCGCCCGGACAGCTACCCCTGGGTGGATACACGGACCAAAGGGAGTACAACCACGCTACCTCAAAACAAGATGAATGTCTGCAGGTGAAATCTATCAAGACTGAGAAGCCAATGGTAAGACTTCAATTTTTGCTTTATCATCCACTTTACTGACTCATATTGTCTTTATTTAGTTCACTAACGTTCAAACAGTAATTAATTTATGCTTCCGATGCCTAAGTGTATTTGAAGAAAGGGTTTTCACACTGACCTCTTCTAATGAATACATCTTCTCCTCTATCCAAATGCTTCGGCATTTCTCTCCGTTCCTTTCTAAGGACAGTGGGTAATCAGGTGAGATGGGTTTGACACTACATTCGTTCGCCCTTCATCTCATCCTGCTGCTTTGGAGGAAAGTCTGCCAGCCAGACTTTCACCATACGCATGCCAAATGTGTTCCCAATCTGGTTCTCCATCTCCAGTTCACCACAACCATCCAAAAATATATATATATATATATATATTTCTTCTCGTTTTTTAGCACTTCTGTTATTTTTATCATTACAATGCTTTCCTTTGAGCACTTCTCATGCCTTTGGAAAAAATGCATAATTTGAGATGCACCTTTAAGTAATCAAATGAACAAGAGAATTTCAATTGACCTTCATTAATGACCATCTCAACAAATAATCTTTTTTTATGATCAGTAAATTCGCCATCCTACCTCATAAAAAGTGGCTTCAACACTCTTCACAGTGGCTGCCGTGACTGAGTGAAGAAGTCTAAATATCAGCTATTTTCAGTGTCGATAATGTGTTTAAAATTTAAATCAGGCTATGAAAAGCTATTTTAAAAGAAGCTGTTTTATTAAATGAGTGAGATAGTGAGACTTTCACCAGATAACAGCAAGTTGCTCTCTTTTATTCTTTTAAGCTTTCAACTTCTGCTCTTCATCAAACATGCTGGATTTGTTGATATAATTCGTAAGATAGGAAGGCAAAGATTCTCATTTTGTCTTAAATTGGTAAAATATCTTGTTTTACAGAAATGGTTATTTCATATGCTTAACATTATTAATTAATGAACACCTAGGGCAGAAAAAAAATCTGCAAAATGATGTATATTGGTGCATCTCATAGAGGGCGCTCAAACATTCAATGCCCAGTAGTACAAACTTTCACAATATTACAGGAATTCCATCTTTTGCACTACATTGCGTCCTTGTCGTGCCATGATTTATGTTTCTTGTGTGGTTTTGATTAAAACCTTTAATTACGCTGCTGCCTTCTGTTTGTCTGCGTCCATCAGACGTCTCAGCCAAGCCCTGGCGGTCAGTCTACATGCAGCAGTGACCAGTCCCCCATCAGCGCCTATCCCAGCAGTGGAGTCCAGCTTGCTGTGAGCGCCGGACGCTCGCCAGGGGAGGGGCTGGAGGAGGACGAGGAGGAGGAGGAAAATGAAGAGGAGGTGGAGGAGGAGTGCGAGGGCGAGCCAGCCCCCATTATGGACTCCACGGTGTCCACGGCCACCGCGGCCATGCTGACCCTGCAGGCGAGGCGAAGCATCGGCCGGCCCCTGCGCTGGATGGAGCACATGAAGATGGAGAGGCTAAAGCAGGTGAACGGAGCGCTGCCCAGGCTTGGGTCCCTGTCTCCCACACCACCCCCTAAAAGTTCGGCAATGCCCAACATCCTGGGGAAGGGTAAGTGTAACTTTGTGAAACTTTTGTTAAATTTCCTCAGGCCTCACATCTTGTGTTCATTTCATTACTCCAACACATCTCGGAAGCACCTGTAGACAGAATTTACAGAGCTGAATGATTCTGATTCCCATCTTACTGGCTCTGCCTGAAGGGTTCAGGAAAAACAAATGTTGAAAGAGGTTCTGTTCCACTGCAAAATAGTATCAAGATGTACATCATATCAGAGAGAACAGCATGTAATATCATGTTTCATGGCCAATTGCAGCTAGTTGTCCATGGTAACATCTGTTTGAGAGATCTCTCCACACTTAACTTTTCTTGGCTTCTTCTCTCTAATCCTCCTGTAATATTTCTTTCATCACACTTCATTTTCCTTGGTTCCTCTGCAGCCTTCCTAACGTTCTTCCTCCGCTCTTCTCAGGATCGTGCTTGGGCAGGCAGTGGGGTGTGTCTGCTCCTCAGCCACCTGCTCACGCTGAGTTGGCCAGCACGGAGCTAACAGTGCTCAATTTGCTCCGAGACCGGCGCGACAGCAGCGGGAGCGCCGCCAGTTCAGCCTACCTGAGCAGCAGCCGACGCTCTTCGGGAATCTCTCCCTGCTTCTCCAGTCGGCGCTCCAGCCAGGCTTCCCAGGGTGATGGCATGATGCCGTCCCAGCACCACCGCCGCCTCCACAATCTCAGCTCCACTGACTCTTATGACCCCATCTCCACAGACGCCTCCCGCCGCTCCAGTGAGGCTAGCCAGTACGGAGGTGGAGTAGTAGGAGGAGGCGTTGGAGCACTCTCAGGTGGGAGTTGTGGAGGCGGAGGAGGAGTTGGCTTTGGAGGAGGAGGTGGGTCACGAGGGATGCTCAATTTAACCCCTGCACAGCATTACCACCTTAAGGCAAAGTACGCAGCAGCTACTGGTGGCCCACCCCCAACGCCGCTACCCAACATGGAACGCATGAGTCTGAAAACCCGCATGGCCATGATGGAGGAGGGTGGCAGCAATCACAGTCTGCCACCTTTGGTCCGACCACCTCGTTGTGGTGAAGCCGCTGGAGGGTACAACAATGGGTTTATGGGGCATGGAGGTTATAGAAGGAGGGTTCTTTATCCTGGCGAGGGAACTCTGAATGGGAACCGAAGGGCGAGTGACCCGGTGCGGACACAGGCTCCTGAAACTTGTAGTTTGCCTCCAGTTCAGCGATTCAACAGCCTTAATAATCTCAATCCTCTTCCCCCTCTGGCTCATAACTCTACAGCTGAATATCGAAGTTTTAGCCTTCAGAACTACACGCGCTCAGAGGGCAACCTGCAGAGAGGCCTGCAGCATTCAACAAACACTGGCAGCATTGCAGAAAATGCAGCCTTGGAAGCCCTGGCAATGGAGGATGATGGTGTAGCCGGCTTGTTTCTTGGAGATGAAGATATTTTGCCAGATGATTTGGTGCAGTATCTGCACTCCCAAGATCAGATGAGTGGTGGTTCATACATTCAAAATGAAGGGCAAATAGATTCTAGCCAAAGGGACAACTCCTACCCCGCCGTGGAAGCAGGGGTAAACTGTACCTTCCCTGAATCTCACTATCTCCAGCCGCAGCAGATACTAGAGAGGAAGAGTCCTAGTAAGCTTCCCATTCAGTGGAATGAAGTAAGCTCAGGTAGTGTTGAGAGGTCTCCCCAAAGGTTACAAAGCCACCACATGCAGTGCGAGAGGTGGCCTGAGGCAACAACTGCATCAACTGGCAGGTCACGAAACACGCTGATTCCCCAGCAGGCATCTGTGGACTTCCATGGCAGCTGCCAACAGGCTAATCAGTTGCAAAGTACTAGTTATGTTAACACTGGGGTGAAGCTGGAGACACTGCCCAACTCCTGCATGGAGATGAGAGGTACCAGCATGTCAAACATCTCACAGGGTATCAATGGGGCTCTTCCTCAAGGTCTTAAACAGCAGATGTCCACTGGGCCTTCAAAACAGAGCCATTTCCAACAGAACAGCAGAACCATGTGGCAGGTTGGAAACAACCTCATGCTTACCCGGGCCTCCATGGACAGTGTACCCAACTTGTCCCAGGGAACCGTTCCAGATCACAATCGACCAGTACATGCTCCGTATCCACCAATAAACAATTACAAAAATGTAGTCAAAACCCAGCAGTACTTCAATCCACAGTCGAATGAAATCGACCAACACCCCATCCAACCCCAACAGCTACAGAGGAGTGGAGACCAGTGTTCTCTTGTGTGCGATGTATCGGGGCTAAAACTAGAGAACCTGGATCATGGAAACATGGTACAAACCTTTTCGGATTGCCTCACTTACGGACCAGCCGACTGCAAGTCCTCTTCCTTCCCTGTGTTGAAAGAGCAGAGTTTGTTAGAGTCCATGGCAGCATCTGAGGGACCAGGCAGCTGCAACACAAACACAAATGCCCTTCCCTCCCCTGGTACAGACCTAGTCAGCAGCACAGTTGATGGCCAAGTTCCAGGAATATTAGACGAAGGGGTAAATCTGGACTTTGGTGCCATCCTGGAGGATGGCTACGATCAAGGTAGCCTGGTCTCTGAGGTACTGAGCCCCTCTATGTTCCAGGGCCTGTCGAGGACCTCGTCACGCCTCACCACACCTCAAGGATCCACCACCTTCAACAGCGTTGCTCCCGGCCTCAGCAACATGGCCATCGGAGACATGAGTTCCCTCCTCACCACCCTCGCCGAGGAGAGCAAGTTCTTGGCTATAATGCAATAGCTGCTCCTTCTCTCCACTTTCTCCTCCAAAAGGGATATAAAATGGAAACAGAAAGAGGAAAACAATTGGTGTATGTGAAGATTAAGACTCACAAAGTGGCAATTAAAGGAACTTTATAAGAAGTTACCATTCCCAAACCATTTTACATTAGGAAAATATAATCCCAAACAGAACAGGGATGTGCCATGAATATGTACAGATAAAATTATATTCCTTTTCTGGAATCAAGGCTATTTTTGGAAGCCCTTTCTTTTGTATTTGCTGGTGAGACAAAGCTCATCTTCCTTGAGTCAGTATTGTGTCACTGTTTTAGCTATTTGTAAAAATGCATGTAACTCCAGTTAAACCTTGAACACTGTCTATAGAACTAGAAAGACTAGCGCCTTGTGCCAACCTTCCTAACGTCACAGGTACTCACTGCGGCTGAGACATGGGCCGTCACTTTAAAAGGCCCTGAGGACAACTTTATACATCATAGTTTTAATTCGTGCTAAATTCTCATTTGTTTGTGTTGCTTTTGTAAATCTGTAAAATGTTTCAGTGCTTTGACCAAGTTTTACCAAGTGGTATTTTTGTCAAAAAAACAAACAAAAAACAAACAAAAAAACGGACTACAACTCCAAGTCTTCAGCCTCTGTAGATCGTTGTCTACTTGATATCTTAATGGCTTTATTTTAGTTAGTCTGGTAAGGTACTCACAAGTGTTTGTAGAGGTGTCTTTGTATTCTGTTTGTGGTTCGATTTTTTGATGTTGGATTTTACAGCTCTGCAGAACTGATCTGTAAACGGACGCTCTGTTCTATAAATCTTGGTGCTTTGCGTGTGGTTACATGGATCCATATGAGTACTTCTATGGTTTTGAAATGTCTTAGCTCATGAAAAGGTCTTCAGCATAGAGGTCCTGTAAACATGATGTGTTTTTGTTTGATTGTAAAGTGTATGTATTGTTTTCTCCAAAGCTCTTAAAATGTAGAATGTGTACTAGGGGTGTGATGGCTCATGTATACGTCCTTGAGCCACCATGGTACAGACGTCACTTGAAGGTACATGCAAGTCACAGGTGACCACCACTCCTAGTCAACAAAGCTTTTTAGTGCTTTTTTTCTTAAATAATATGAGAAAAGAGACTTTCTAAAGCACTCCACACCAAACCAATGCAAGAATGGCTGGCAATAATTACAAGCATGGCTCTGAAGATTAGCAGTGTGTAGAGTAAGGGTTTCCAGTGATACGGCAACAATGAAGAATGAACATTAGCAAGTTGTCAAGTCCAATGTTCATATCATAGAGAGCTTATGGTAAGCAGTATTATATGTGTTCTATATATTTGACATCAGGTGTTATTCTACCATCCACCACCAGACACTAAAACAAATTTCTGCTGCAGGAACCTTTTCCATTAACCACTGTAATTTTCTTTAACCCCCTTATCCTGGTTGAATGGTCCCAGCATTCTTCCAGTTTAAACATGACAAACGTAGTTGGTATTGTTGTTTAAAAACATTTAAACCCAGCTACCCACACTAAATACTGCTGTGCTTCACAGCTTTTAGCTTTAAATACCGGTATATGAATAAGATCAGTTGAAATATGGCCGACTTCTGATTTCAGCTTCTGTAGGAGTAAGGCTCTTGTCACAGGCATTTTTTTTAAGATTCAAACTTGTAACGTCTTTCAAGATTGAAAGAAGCAGATATACTTGTGTATGTGATTATCGTTTCTTCGAGATGCTTTTCACATTCTTTAATTGTTAGACATCTGTGTATTGTTACAAAATTCCTCTGCGATAATAAGTTAATTAATTTCAGCTTCGCATATAACAAATGTGAAAAAGTTCAGAATAAGATCATGCTCCCCACTCCTTAATTTTACCAGTATGGTTACACCTTCTTATAAAGTTTAAATTGACTAATTAAGGTCTTTAGAGTAATCTCTCTGCAGATTCATTGGTCCCTCCCCTGTACAAACACGGGAGCTGGGATTGCTCAGGTCTTTTACGATCTATTTTAGTTACACACTTCCACCATCTGGAGAGGCTTTTCTTAGGTTTTATACTTCAACCACTACAAAACAGCACAAGAATAATGCTGTATTAGGGGAGATCTATGGACCTGGATCACTTATAAGAAAAGCAGCAGCACTCCTGCAGGAGGAGGAGCCTCACAGCCTCAGTGTGCGTCATTTCTGCAAGCGGTCTGATTTAGGAGCCCATAATGGAAACACACAGAGCTGACAGGCGGGGGTGAAATAAAATAGGTTCCTTGCACCTAAGTTATGCTTTGCGTAGTTCAGACGCACTTTTAATTTCCTCTAAGTTCATCACAAGCGCCACCTAGTGTTCAAACAGTGAATCACTATTAAATGCTTATTGATACAGAGTTTTCAAATTCGGAGAAGTTACCTATTTTTTCTGCGTTGTCTTTTGTGTAGAATTAAGTTTTCAAATTAAATTAAAAAGACTTTAAATGGAAGCATTTTTTTTTTTCATTAAAGAAATTTTGGACCGTTTTTATTTGATGCTAAGGTAAGTTATTTTCAAACTAAAAAATAACTTAATTATTTTTGTCCTTGCTTATCCTCTGCCAGTACAAAAATCTTACCAGTAAATACTGAAAGAATATTTTGCATTTGGCTGTGTGCTGCTGTGGCGTACCTGTACCAACCTTATGTGTGCTGTCACACCCCTAATCCGTACTGCCATCAAGTATTGCAGTGACTTTGTCCAGCAGTGTTAGTTTTGCCTTGCAGTCTTCTGCCGCTGCGCACTGAATATTGAGGAGTTTACCTTTCATTCAACATTGGAACAATGAGGTACAAAAGTGTTTTTTTTGTTGTTGTTATTTTTATTTGTACTTGGGTACTTTTGTCATTTTTGTAGCTGTGCATTGGAGTTCTATTTTTTTTTTATTTCAAAGAAATAGAGATAATTTCCTTTGACAGAAGGAAATGGGCTGAGGTATGTGCCTTAAACGAGAGAGATCACTGCCAATCTTCCATTGTGAATACTGATAAAAAAAGGTGAAACTTTTAAACCTGAAAGGAAATTAAAGAGAACATTTATATAAGGAAAGTCTGAATATCTGAAAAGTAAAGATTTGCAACATACATTGTACTTTTTTCTTTTATTTTCCAAGTTTTCACATTTATCGTGCTTTTATATAAATATATATATATAAATATATATATATATATGTAAATAAAATACTCTTTCTGTAGATTTAGCAAATGAAACGTGGAGTACCCTGGGACCAATAAAGAACTTTGAAATCAAGGATTCCCAGCCCCCCCCCTCGGTTAGAGGAGGGGCAGATCTGGCTGCAGAGCTCTGCACCTTTGCCAGAAGAGCCGCGTCACACTTTTATAACTGACAACAAATGTTTGTATGGTTTTAATAAAAAAAAAAAAAAAAAAATTAAAATATATTTTCAGACTCTGGGATTTTTTTTTCTTTTATGTGACAGGTTTGGATTATAGAGACATATTACAAAAATTATGTAAACCACTGTTCTTCCAGAGGAAAATCTAGTTGTAAATGTGGAAAAACACAGAAATGAGGTAAGAGTGAACGTTAGTTAATTAAATGAAACAGATTTAGAAACTATAAAATATACTATTTGTTTTGCTACATGACAAATATTTGAGAGATACCATTATTTTTTCCGAGGCACTGCAAAGTACCCAACCTCTTGTGCAACAGGCAGCTATTGATCTTATTGATTACAAATTATGTTAGCTGTGATCATCTGTTATCAGCAGAGAGCTGCGGAAGCACGAACTGAATAAAACACAAATGTAAAAACACGGATCCTGTTCCACTCAAAGCCCAAATATTACTACAATCCCCACTTACTGCCTATTAAATTGCTTGTCAGATTAAACCAAAATCTCCCCTGATCAGCGGGTTTCAAGCTGATTCAGACTGAAGGAGATGTTTAGGATGAGAGACTTAAAAAAAGTTTTGGTTTGTGAAAAGACAAGCTGATGTGCTCAGACTGGACAAAGACAAAGCGTTCCCTTCATGCATGTTGGAACATACGATTCGGTTTCATCATTAAAAAAAACGTGCAAGTATGAATGTTAGTCACATAAAAGGTAATTAATGCCAAATGGGGCAGCAAATCTTCAACAAAATCACATAAAGATGTTGCGGAATCTCCTTACTGAACATCCAGGCTTGATCCTTAG